TACCCCGGGCGATGCCCGGCCGATGCCTGGCCGATGCCCGGCCGACTCCCCGGGGGCGTTCCAGGGGCGCGCCAAGAGGGCGCCGGGGCTTCCCCTACACGATCCAAGACGCCCCGAGTCGCCAAAAGATCGCTCCAAGACGCTCACGATGGTCTCCAAGTGGACCCAGAGGCCGCGAGGCAGCCCCAGGAGAGCTTCGACAGGCTCTCCAAGAGGGCCCCAACGAGCAAGCATCGCCCCGTTCCCGTCGGAAAACTAATATGATTTCGCATGTGCGACGTATCTTGTCTTTTCGGCTTCCCGATTCTCCAAGACGGCCCAAGAGGCCCCCAAGACCGCCCTAAGACGGCCCAGGAAGCCTCCCTCCAAGAAGGCCCCAAAAAGGCTCAATATGGCCCCAAAGTCAGACCAAGAGGTGCCCGAGATGGCCCTAAAACGGTCCCGAGAGAGGCCCAAGACGGGGACCAGGAACCGAAAAGTCCAGCCTTCAGCCCCAAGAGGCCTCCAGGAGGCCCCCAAGAGGCACCCAAGAGGCACCCAAGAAGCCCCAAGAAGCCCCAAGAGGCCCCCAAGAGTCTCCAACACGGTCCCCAGTACCTAGCCGCTGCTCTGCGCACCAACGCGCGCTGGCGCCCGCGCGGTCGTGGCGCGCGCAGGCAGCGTGCCTCGAAATCGTCGTCTTCACCGACCCTGTCCTGTAAGGGGGGACAGGAACTATCGGGCAACCTTGGCGCGCTGGTGGCGCGTTGCGTGGTGCCCCCGCAAGCTGCAGTGCCCGTGCACTTGTGTAGCGCGCAGGCGGTCTGTTTCGCGCTGGTCGTCGTCGTCGTTGTCGTCGTCGTCGTCGTCGGCGGCGGCGGCAGCGGCGGCGGCGTCATCGCCGTCGTCTGTTTCTTCGCCGTCGTCGTCATAGTCTTCGCATTCGCGTCCGCGCAGAGACGGGCATGATGCCCTTCGGTGCCTCCTTGTGACATGGCGCACTCGATTCCAATCTGTCAGATTTTACAAGGAAGCCGCATTCGCGTGCAGTTCTGGGGAGGCAGTTCATCAGGAGGGGAAAAATCCACAGACACAATTAATCGTCGATTCCCCAGAAGATATGGGAAAATATGGGAAGTGTGGGGGGGAAGACAAGAACCCAGAAAATTTGGGAAACTATTGGGAATCCTGTTATGTGTGTCTATTTATTTAATCGCTTCGCTCATTCCGCTGGCCCTGGAGCGCTATTTGGGGCCTCTTGGGGCCGTCTTGGGGGCTTCTTGGGGGCTCCTTGGGAGCGTCTTGGGGCTCCTTGGCGGCGTATTGGGCTCCCCTGGGGCCTCTTGGGGGGCTCTTGGGGGCTCCTTGAGGCGGGAGGGGGGGTAGTCGATTGCAGCCCCCCCCTCGGAGGCCACGATCCTCGTGAGGGGTGGCGAAAAAGAGCCTCCCCAGGGATCGGCCGGGGTACTTTTCGTCTGGTGCCCCCCAGGGGCCGCCCCGCGCGCCCGAATTAGAAATATTGCCAAGTAGTTACTGGAGATCTTAGCACGCCTCTGGGCCGGCGAATTTGTGTGCCCCAGGGCCCCTTCGTATATCAGGAAGCCGCATTCGCGTACAGTTTTTTGGGGGGCAGTTCGGCCCGATGGGAGCCGGACGGGCGCTTGAGGCGCCGACGGCGGCGCAGGTTCGCGGCTCCCGAGCTGGCGGAGTGGGTCGAGCGCGCGCGCCGGGAGCCAGCGGCCCAGCTGGCGAGCTGGCGTCCCCCAGTCGGAGGCGACGATAGGGGCGAATAGCCCAGGGGGGAGCAATCGGAGGTTGGGGGGTGAGATCGAAGTGGAACGGAGAGCCCCCCTACCGGGAAATCGATTTCTGTTTCGTGTTCGTGCGTGCCGTGCGGGCGAGGCGAAGCTGCGTGGGCGGGCGAGAGAAAGTCTCCTGTGGCTGAGGCGCGGCCGGAGCAAAAGAACCTTGACCGGGCGGCCGGTGCCCCGCGGTGTCCCGCCGGTGTCCCGCTGGTGTCCCGTGTGGCCGAGGCGCGGCCGGGGCAAAAGAACCTTGACCGGGCGGCCGGTGCCGCGCGGTGTCCCGCCGGTGTCCCGCTGGTGTCCCTTCGGTGTCCCGTCGGTGTCCCGATGATGACGTGGATGATTATGATGATGATGATGATGCTGATGATGATGATGATGATGATGATGATAATGATGGTGATGGTGATGGTGATGGTGATGGTGATGATGATGATGGTAATGATGATGATGATGATGATGATGATGATGATGATGTTGATGATGATGATGATGGCGATGATGGCGATGATGATGATGATGATGATGATGATGATGATGATGATGATGATGATGATGATGATGTTGGTGTCGTTGATGATGATGATGATGATGACGTCGATTGTGAGATCGATTGTGATATCGATAGTAAGACCGAATGTGAGATCGATTGTGCGATGCTGATGGTGATGATGGCCATGATGGTGATGATGATTGTGATGATGATGACGACGTTGATGATGATGATTATGATGATGATGCTGATGATGACGATGATGATGATGATGATGATGATGATGAGGATGATGGTGAGGATGAGGATGATGATAATGTTAATGGTGATGTCGATGATGATGATGATGATGATGATGACGACGTCGATAGTGATATCGATTGTGAGATCGGTAGTGGGACCGGATGAGACAGCGAATGAGGTCTTCTCTCAGGTTCTCCTCCACCACGCACTCCTCGGTTCTGGACCTCTCCTTTTCCCTCCTCCTCCTCTTCCCCATATCAGCTTCCTCATCCTTCGAGGGTCTTGGGGGCCATGATCAGCCATGACCATCGGCGTCGTGGTCGTCGTCGCCGTCGGACCGCAGCCCATCGCGGTTCTGCCTTCGGACACTCCGCCCGGACCTTCGGCCGGTGCCGCCTCCATGTCCGGTGCCGCACGCATGTTCAGACATGCCCTGCCTGTGTCCCAGAGCCAGGCTTTGCCAGCGCAAGGGACACAGGCAGAATACCCGGGCTCGCGCAGACTCGCGCACCGAGAACAACATTCACCATTGTTGCCCATTGCTGGCCCCCCCCCAACCTCCTTATCACCCGCAGGGTGGTCGTATAGGTACATGTATCCAGGTGTGCCGATGATCTGTGTCTTCGGCGAGGCTCTCGGGCGACTACATGTAGTGTCCGCCCCTGGGCCATTCGCCCTTGTCGTCGCCGCCGACCCGGGCGCACGCTGGCAGCCGCCGCTTGTCTGCAGGGTCCGAGGATGCGCAGCACGGGCCCCGGGGCTTCACGGCGGCGCGCTTCTTGGCCCGCACGGTGCGGGCGAACGAGACCAAATGAGCTGCGCCGCCCGGCAGCCGCGTTGGCCTCCTTGAGGCGAAGAGGGGGCGGGGAGGAATGCGACCCCTTGCCTGTCCCATCCTCCTCGTCCCTCCTGCGTCGGACCCGTTTGCCTGCCAATTCTGCCTTTCTGTTTTCCGTAGTTTTTTCCTTCTCTCTTTCGTTCTTCATTACTCTTTTCTGCCTCATCGTTTCTTGTCCCCCTTCCCCGTTCCTGCTTCCTTCTGCCTCTGCCTTTTTGTTCCCCCCTCTGGTTTTTCTCGTCCGTTTCGTATTCAGTTTTTTCCATTCGGTCCTTTTCTTCCAATTCTCCCTCCGCTCGGTTTGTCTGCCTCCTCCCTCTATTTTGTCTTTCTTCCTTGTCCCTCCCCCCCCCCCATTCACCTATTAAGAGCAGGGGGCGGAGGACTTGGAGGATGGCACAAGATGCAGGGGACGGGGCGCATGGAGGATCGATGAGGGGAGGAGGAGGAGGGGGAGGAGAATGGGGGGGAAGAGGACGGAAAGAAGAAACGGGAGGAGAATGACGAGCGGGATTTTCATCAACAACGCTCACACGCAACCCACCACGTCAACAGCGTTGCGGGGAATGGGGTGCCCAGGTACGGGGTCCGCCTTGCCCAGATCCTGCTCACCCCCCCAAAGCACCTGCCTGGTTTGAAGCGTGGTGCGTCGCGTTCACGCGGGTCTCGTTCCCCCGACGCCGCGGCTACTTGGGGGGTGGTCGGGGGCGCTTCGGTGAATGTCCAGACTGCTCGCGTGGGCAGGGATTTCGCGCGCGGGTGATGCAGCGTCGTCTCGTCGGCGGGGATCCGCACCCCGACCGACGGGTTGGGGGGTTTCTTTGCTGCGCGACTGGGCCAGCGCGCTCGTGCGGGAGCCTCGCGCGGGGAAGCTGCTTCGCATTGGCGCGACACAGCAGGCTGCGGAGGGATTCGTCCTGACGTCTGAAGTGTTCCGCAGGGAGTCGTCAGGAATTTCCCCGGATTCTTAGGGACTCTTTGGGGTGACAGCAGGGGCCGGGATCCTAACCGAGGGTGTTTGTGTGCAGGGCAGGACTGAGGTCGTAGGGTGCCGGCCAGGCCAGGTTGCTGAAATCGCCATACTCGTATCTATGTGTAGATTCGCTCCAGAGATCTTGGCGATCTCCGTTCACCTGGGTTGTGATGGGAACGGCATTCGCGTGAGCTAAGAGCCTACATGGAGCCATGCGGTTGTTGCTCGTAAAAGAAGATTCTTCTCTGCTGGTCGAGCACCGCTCTCAGGCCCCCCAGTGCCGTCTAGAGGCTCACCAGGACCAAGTGTCGAGAATAGCGAAGCATCTTCGCCTGGCTCTCGTTCAGAACGTTGGAGATCGGGGTCGGTGGTCCCTGGAGCTGGAGTTCACCCTGGATCCGCTCTGTGACAGCCCCCTGGGGCCTTGAGCGGGGTTCCAGGGCTGGACCTAAGCGGTGTTTTGGGTGATTTCGCGGGCCATTTTCGTTTCGACTTCGTTTTGCGGTAAAGGCGGATTCGAGACAAAAGCGGGGGAAAACGAAAACATAGCGCAAACGAGCAGCACCGTTTAGGTTCAGCCCTGCGGGGCTCTGCGTGGCCTCAAGTGGAGTCTCTCCAGAACCTCGAGATATACTCGACCCTCGAGGTGCCCCTCGCCGGGGGGTCGAGGTTTGACGCGCCCCCCATGGACACCGCGGGCGTGTCGGTGATGGATCTGGACGAGGAGGACGTTAACGTCCTGGAGCTCGCGCCGCCAGAGGCTTCGGCGCGGGGGGGCTCGGGAGGAGCGAGAGGACGGGGGAGCGAGCAGGAGCCAACACGAACGGAATGGGCAATTTCGGAAATCATGTGGACGAAGATCAGCAGCAGTTCAAGCCCATTTTGAAGAGGACTCGATGTCGGCAAGCGTTGTCACTTGAGACAGACAGTCGCCGGCCCAGCATCGGCCGCTGTTGATGTTGGCTAGTACTTGCAGTTCGAAAACATGGGTACGAAAACAGAGGTATGATGCAACAACAATTCATGGGTGATTGCAGTCCTGAAATGGGTATGGACAACATGAGTACGATGCCCGATAGCACCCATGTTTTTCGTATCCATGTCTGGGCGTGCCAAATGAGGGAGCACAGGGTCGAATTACATACATTTGCTCAAGACAAACCTTCGGAGCGCCGTGTGCATTTCTTGGGTCTGCGCTGGACCCTCCTGGCCTGCTCCGCATTCCAGGGAGGGGGGCTCATCGCAGATCCAATGCATCCGCGCGAACCTGCTAAAGTTTGTGTACATCAGTCTTTCTTAATCAAAGGAGGGAGGATGAGGAGGAGGTGGCGCTGGTTGTCGACCTCGGACGTCGTGCTCGGACGTCGTGCTCTGTTTCGATACGGAATCCCAGAGATCTCGGATATCTCGACCGATTTCCCAGGGCCGTGTTTTTTTTGCAGAGTTTTTTTCGATGCCAAGACTCAGAGCTGGCGTCTAGAGGCCATCATTGAGGAAACCCATCGGATCTCGAAATCATCTGCGAATGTTGCAATGGTCTTGCTACTTCCTCGAGAAGGCACAGCAACGCTACTGATTGAACAGACGATGTGGCGGATTGCAAGTTGCCTGGCGCAACATCAGGTGCAATGTTGCACCGGATAAGTAGCAGACGATTTAGTGGCTTGCTTGGGTGCCTGGCGCAAGCCTACGGCGCAATGATCCACAATGATAGAATGGTGCCTTGGGCAATCTGTTTATGCGCTGCATGGCGTCTGCCTCAATATGCCGCGCAACCTATCGCGAAAACGATGGAAGGTATATTCATTTGCGGGAATCGCGATTCGGTGTCGTTGCCTGGTGCCTGCCCCAACCTATGGCTCGACCTGTGGAGCAACCTCTGGAAGGGAACCTCACAAGGGACGGCGTGGCTTAGTTGCGCGGCAGGGGGCTCTGCCGCAACCCGTAGCGCAACCTTTGGTGCAACAGACGGAAGGTAGCCTCACCAAGGACATCGCGAGTTAGTTTCCCAGCGGGGTTTCTGCCACAATCTACGGCGCAACCAGTGGCAAATATTGTTTCGGGTCTCTTGGCGTGTTGGATTTTTCAAGGCGTACCAATGCCTTTAACAGGTGATTTAGTGGATGGCGAGGTGCCTTGCGCAGCGAATGCCACAATTGTACACGGCACACCCACCGCGCAACGGACGATTTGATTGATTGTGCGGTGCTTGGGGGAACCTATGGCTCAACCTATAGGGCAATGGTGCACAGACTAAGCAACGGAGCATTCGGTTGAATGCGTGGTGTTTCAATGTTTGGTGCCTTTTGCGGCGCAACCCATGGCGTACTGGCACATCCAGCAGGAAGCACCGGACGATTTGGTGGAGTTCGGGTTTCCTGATTCATTTGATTGCGCAACTTTTGGCGCAGTGGTACACTGGTATCTCGTGCAGTGGTAAATTTGTGCCTGGCGCAACCTTTGTTTGCGCTGCTCGGTGTCTGTTGCAATATGTGGCGCAACCCATGGCGCAATGGCAGCATCAACAGGCAGCAGACGATTTTGTGGATAGCGGGTTGCTTGGCGCAACCTATGGCGGAACAGGTATGGATTGCGTGATGTTAAAAGTGTAACCAATGGCGCAAAGGTACAAGTACAAGCAATGTGCATCGGACGATTTGGTTGATTGCGGGGTGCCTGTCGTAGCCTATGGCGGAACTTGTGACGCACTGGTACAGCATTGGTGCTTGGCGCAATTTTTTTTTGCGGTGCGTAGTGTCTGTTGCAATTTGTGGCGCGATACATCGCGAAACCAAGGTAACGTAGGCTCACCTGGGACACGCGATTTTGATTGTGTTGTAGGGTGCTTGGCTAAACCTATGGCGCAACTTGTTGTGGAGCAAAGGGATGCTCACGCGGGAACTCGTGAGATTGGTCGCGCAGCGGGCTTTTCTGCCCCAGCATTTGGCCCAGCCTGTTGCCACTAACTTAGTGCTGTGTAAGGTCCCTTGACGGGGTCGAATGTTGAACCAGTTGGGGGTTGGAGGCCTTCGGCGCGCGATGTTTGCCCGCGGTGTGAGTGGCGCCCCCCCCCCCCGCCCCCCTCGCTCAGCATGGAACGCCGAGGCCCTTTTGGGTCTCTTTTGGGGGGAGGGGGGGGGGCTCCTCGCCGCGTCTGGAGTACCCTGCTCTTGGCATCGCTCGGGCGTGTGCATGATTTCTCGTTGAGGGCCATCGAGGAGAATTCTGGACCATCAGGCAAGAAAGCACGCACGAAGCCGAAACATGCACGGGGAAAACGCGTTCGAGTGATGCACGTCATAAGCATATGCGCTCCGGTAATGGCCACAGTTTTCCCAGAGATTCGACGATGTCCTTTTCAGTCCGCGGCCCCAGAGTTCCCGACCGCTTCGTTCTCCGCCCCGATCCATTTTTGACGCCCCGCTGAAGCCGAAATGAAGGACGCACGAATGGCTCGAACAACTTAGTGCGACTGATGTCTGGGTTCCTGGAGATGTCGTCTCGTCCGTCAATGCTGGTGATCGCGCTCGATAAGGATGAGGATGATGATGGGGATGGCGATGATGTAAACGATGACGACGATGGTGATTATTTTAATGATGATGGTGAAGCTGATGATGAAAATGTTGTTGCTGATGTCGATGACGATGATGATGCTAATGATGATGGTTTTGATGATCATGCTGTTGCTGATTATGCTAATGGGGTGGATGCTGATGTCGATGATGATGATGGTTATGATGATGATAATGCAGCTGCTACATATTATGATGACGACGATGCTGAGGGTGAGGTTGATGATGATGTTGCTGGTGATAATGGTGGTGGTGATGAAGATGCGGATGCGGATGCGGCTGTTGAGGATGATGCTGATACTGCTGATACTGCTTATGACGATGCTGGTGATGAGGACGATGATGACAGACGACGACGATGACGACGATGACGATGACGATACATGATGAGCATGTCAACGATGACGATGCCGACGATGACGGTGAGGATGTCAACGACGGTGTTGATGATGTTGTTGATGATAATGCTGGTTATGTTGATGCTGATGTTGATTATGATGATGATACTGAGTACAGTATGATGGATTGGCCCTTCTAACGTCGATGATGGTGATGACGACGACGACGATGATGATGATGATGATGATGATGATGATGCTGGTGATGGTGATGGTAATGGCGGCGGTGGTGGTGATGACGATTGCACTTCTGCTTGGCGATGGCTGCAATGATGACCACGGTGGTGCTGATGGTGAGGAGTGAGTCGAAAGACATGAAGGTTATACTACCACTGGCCAGGTAATTCTTGCCAACTCTTGTTCTCCCCTTCCACGGTGCCCTTTCATCCCCGTCTTTCTCCTTTTCTGTTGCTGCTCCGATGCCCCCATCCCTGCTCCTTTTGCTGCTCCTCACCTTCTGGCTTCTCCTTCTCCTCCTCCACCTCCTCCCTTCCGACCCCTCCAGCCATTAAGAACATTGAACAACATCCTTCAAAGCTCATCAAGAAACCTGACACCTCCCTTCCTCTCTGTGTCTTGTCCTTCCCCCTCACCACCCGCTGACGACGACGATGGCGCCCGAGACCACCAGCGCGACCACGGTGAAAGTAACGACGACCACGGCGACGGCGTCGGCGGCGACCATGACGGCGGCTGCGACGACAGATACGTCGGCTGCGTTGTGAAGAAGACGGCGGCAAGCGGTGGTGGCGACGGCAGGCCGAAGTGTTCATGCAGCGCACGACTGGGGTGCACCAGTGCCTGAATTGCGGGTTCGAATACAACCAGATGTGGGGGAACGCGCGCCGTGAGGAGGAGGGGAGGAGGAGGAGGAAGAGGATGAGGTGGAGGAAGAGAAGGAGGAAGAAAAGGTTCGATTATTGATGTTGGATATGTTTTGGGGCTGCTGGAGGTATGCCGTCGCGGCTGGGCACGACTCGGAAACACTTTCAGGATGGAGCCCGAGAAGGGTCCAGGGACGAGAGGAGGAATCAATTCTTTGGCGGGCATTCCTGGGGATTCCACGCCGCATGATATTTTTCATCAGGGATACGTGGAAGAGAGGGTGGAGAGATAGAGGAGCAGGAGGAGGAGGAGGAAGAAGAGGAGGAGGAGGAGGAGGAAGAGGAGGAAGAGGAGGAGGAGGAGAAAAGAGAGGAGGAGGAGGAAGAGGAGGAGAAGGAGGAGGAGGAGGATGAGGAGGAGGAGGAGGCATAGGATGTGCAGGCTCAAAGTGCTTGCGGGAACTCTACCCCACGCACTCAATGGGGGGGCGCCAGGTTCTTCGTTTTTGCATGGCTTTATGTTGCCACTCCGACCAGACAGTGCTATCCCGCGATGGCGTGGGGCTCTTGGAATGTGTAGGACCAGCGTGTGAAGAATGGCGGATCATACTTGGTGTGCCAGAGTCACACCGCATGGCGGTCACGTCCAGCGCGAAGAAAAAGTCTTATGCAAGTGCGGCATCGCCTTCTAGATCCCAGGAGGCGCAGGTGAAACTGGAGTTCATGATGAGGCCCCCCACAGGCAAAACGAAACGCTGAGTCCGACATGCGAACCATCTTGGGCGCCATCCTCGGTGCTCACGGACCCCAGCGAGTGCAGCTTGGCGGTGCATTCCCGTCGGCGGCAGCGCTCGTGGCACGCAAGCAGACAACGCGAGCGGCGACAACAGCCACCGCACTTCAGACACTTCGGCAGCATGAGCGGAAGGCAGCGTGGTTGAGGACCGCATTTGCAAGCTGGAAGCGGAGCTCATTCAGGCCAGGGCAGACCATAAGCAGTCAGCAGTGAATTGGCCGACGCGAGGCAGAAGTTCGAACAGGTCAGCATCGATGCGACGGCCCAATGGCAGTTAGAAGCGCAGGGAGATCTTGGACCAGCGGAGGCAGTTCGCAAGGAGTGGCCAGGACACAGGGCCACCACAGCCACCAGGCCTCGGTGCACGACGGCCACCAACCAGGGCAGTAGCATTGCCCTCAGTGGCAGTACTTGCCAGCGCAAGGGCGCGAGGCGCCTGGATGCCTACCAAGACCAGCAGCAAATGCTGCCCGTTCCTTCCTTCAGCAGGTGGGGGAAGCCGGCCATTCGCGGCAACCTCCCAGGCACCTCGCCGCGGGGCAGCAGCGGCTACTCGCAGCAGCAGCGGGCGCATCTTTGGCAGAAGACCCCCCTGTGCGCGCCTCACCGCCAACACGCAGCCCCAGCGTTTTTGTGGCAGGACAAGCGGGGAAGCTGGTGCTGATGACGAGGTCTGAGGCATCCAAATCCCCCCCGCCAGTCGAAGTACACGTTGGGAAGGGGCCAGCCGATTCAGAATCACAGATTCGCATTCCAGCTTCACCAGCGTAGCAGGTGATTTTGGCCAACCAGTGAGGAAACGGCTTTCGCCGCCAAGGGAGTTGCAGGATACATTCTACTTCGTCGGTTCTGCCCCAGTCGAACTCTGCGAATCCCCCCAGTAGTTGGAGTGGTAGGTCAGACAAGCAGAGTCAGTCAGAGGGCAATGTATCTTCACGTCATCACGTTTGGGGGGATGCCCATGCCGTTAGGTTGACCCCGAGAGGTCCGCGCGTAAATCCGCAGGGAAGGGTATAGGTTGCACTTCTGCCCAGCTCAGCAGACGTCGCTGGCCGGCGCGCGCGGCAACGTCGGTGTTTTTGTCCATCGGCGGTTGCACTCATGCGCTGGAGCTCTCGGTGCAAGGGGGCGCGAAGCACCGCTGGATGGGGGCGCCAGTTGGACCGGGTGTCTTTTAGGATTGCACGGCCAACCGTCATTTGGATTCTCCGCGCGCGCGCGAACCGACGCGGGCTAAACTGATTATAGTTTGAAGGCGAACGCGAGATAGCCACCTTCATCAGAGCATCGAAGTCGTCGCACATCCCAGGGGGGGGTCGCGGGGCACGACGGCCAAGGAGCTCTCGGAAAGGGGGGCGCCAGCGGGTGGAGAGCAGCGGCGGGGTCGTCGCGCAGCCAAAAGCGATCGAATGTTTCATTGTTTCTAGTATGGCCAGTCCACGGGGGCCGCGCGCGGGTTTGCAAGGGGATTTCCAGGCGGAGATCGCCGGCAAGCCAAGCGCGTTCTTTCGCGAGGCCCACGCGATTTCCAACCCCGGGGCCGCGCCGAGGCCCCGCGGGGGGCGCCGCGCCGAGGCGCTTCGCCAGCGCGGGGGGGCCATGGGGCCCATCCCGTCGCCCAGTTGTCCAGGAACGCCGCGGCCCGCTTTGACCCGCTAGTTCGCCGTCTCGTCTCGCGCCGCGGGAGGGTCGCGTTCGGCGCCCCGAGAACATGGAGGGCACAGGCGAACCCCCCCGCATCAGCTCGATGTAGACGATGCTTTCGAGACCGCCCCCGCTAGAAGCCCAGGCCGGCCCGGGGAGGTGGGGGCGGCGCGCTCAGCAGAAGGGGCCGCCCCTTTCCAGAGGGGCCCCTGGGGCCTCAATGCCTGCCGGGCCTGCGCGGGCATCCAGGCGGCGTTCTTGCAATTACATTGGGCGACCGACTTCGCTCGGGCCAGATCGGTCAGGTCGCGCGGGGGCTCGAGATGTCCGCGGTATTTCAGCGCCACGATGAGCTAGACGAGCTGGCCCCTCATTCGCGATGAACGCGCGCTTCGTCGAGCACAGGCGGATCTCGCGGGTCGGCGGGGCGGGGGGGGGGGGCTGCGCAAGCCGCTGTGGAGTTAGTGGTCGAGGTCGCCCCCGAGGAAGCCGATGCCATTGTCCTCGGGGAGGGGGCCATCGCGGGGCCCCGCCAGATCCCCGGGTGCAGAGCCGCCTCCTGGGCCAGGATACTGGGGCCCTCAAGGACAGCAAGCGGAGGCGCCGATCGCCGAGGCGTGGGCCCAGGAGATCTGGGAGGAGGCAACGGAGGGCAGGGGCGCGGGGAAGAATGGAGCTCGGAACAGGTGAGAAAAGCTCCCGGGACCTTCCCAGGGCGTTCTTCTGCAGGCACCGACCAGCGGGCAGCGCGTGACTTCCAGCATCTGCCTCGAGAGGGGCTCGAACGGTCGCCGACATTTTAACCGGCGTCGAGAGGGAGAGGGCCGCCCTTGCCCAGTGCCTCGAGAATCTTGCCGCGCTCAAGCCGCAGATTATCTCATCGGATCTCCGCTCTCGTCGTCTGCTCCCGCGCGCGAGGGGGGGGGGGGTCAGACTCGGGGGGCGGCGACAGCAGGGCAATGGTGTGCATCGATCCATGGATCTTGTCGTCTGCTTGCCTGCCAGAGGTCCTCTCGCTTTGGCCGAAACTGAAGCGCGCCCTGAATGCGTGTGTGTGTGTGTGCGTGTGTGCGTGTGGTGTGTGTGTGTGTGTGCGTGTGTGTGTGTGGGTGTGGGTGTGTGTGTGTTGTGTGTGTGTGTGTGAGAGTGTGTGTGTGTGAGAGAGTGTGTGTGTGTGCGAGAGTGTGTGTGTGTGTGTGTGTGTGTGTTTGTCTGTGTGTCTGTGTGTGTGCGTGCGTGCGTGCGCGTGCGTGCGCGCGCGCGTGTGCTTTTTTTTTTTCCCCCGGAAAGGGCCTGAGCCCAGGGTTCTCTTTCAGTTGGTTTCCCCCCGGTTTTGACGGCTGCAGGGCCGGCGAATTTCTTTTGCGATAAATAGCGAGGTCGCGTAGGGCCGGCGAATTAAAAGTTGAGGATGTCTCGAGCGAAACGCTTGTTTTTCAGAATGTGTTGAGGATGTTTCGAGCGAAACCCTTGTTTTGTGTTATAGATTGTTTTTTCCTGGGGGCATGATTTCTGAGGATCTCTCAAGTGGATTGCTTGTTTTCACGTGCCCAGGTCTTGAGGATGTCTCGAGCGAGACGCTTCGTTTCACGCCTCCAGGTGGCCCAGACAGATGTCTAGCACGAGGATTTGTTGAGGATGTCTCGGACCAGAGGCTTGTTTTCACGTGTCCAGGTCGCCCAGGCGGATGTCTAGCATGAGTATTTGTTGAGGATGTCTCGAGCGAGACGCTTGTTTGCACGTGTCCAGGTTGCCCAGGCGGATGTCTAGCATGAGGATGTGCTGACAACGTCTTGAGCGAAACGCGTGTTTTCACTTGTCCAGGTCGCCCAGGCACATCACAGCCCTCGGCACGGTACATCAATATCGATACCCTTAGCATTGCAGCCTGGCCTGTTGCCTGGCACGTTCCGCGGAGCGTCCCGTGGCGAGTCCCCCTGGCACGTCGCGCGGTGCACGTCCATTGGCACGTTTCGTAGCGCGTCCCCTTGGCACGTCCCGCGGTGCGTCCCCATGGCACGTCCCCTGCCACGTCGTCTGGCGCGTCCCTTGGGACGTTCCGCGGCGCGTCCTCCTGGCATGTTCCCTCTGTGTAGTTCTGGGGCAGCTACCATCTGTTCAGGCAGCTGGAGCTTACGATCCAGATCAGTTCAGTGAGGACTCGGATGCCAGGGAGGACTCGATTTACTAGGCTATATGGAGCACAATTGCGGCATGGCGCATCGCAGTTCAGCACGGCCCAGCACAGCACAGCCGTCGGCACGGTACATCAATATCGATACACTCAACTATGCACCTTGGCGCGTTCCGTGGCGAGTCCACCTGGCACGTCGCGCGGCGCGTCCCCTGGCACGTCCCTCGGCACGTCCATTGGCACGTTCCGTAGCGCGTCCCCTTGGCACGTCCCGCGGTCCCCATGGCACGTCCCCTGGCACGTCGCTGGCGCGTCCCTTGGGACGTTCCGCGGCGCGTCCTCCTGGCATGTTCCCTCTGTCGATTAGTTCTGGGGCAGCTACCATCTGTTCAGGCAGCTGGAGCTTACGCTCCAGATCAGTTCGGTGAGGATTCGGATGCCA